TCTGCAGAAATGATATGGTTGGATAATCTATATGAGGCACCTGTGAGATCAGCCAGAAGCAGGAGTTGCAATTGATCTCAGCATCTGTGCTATCTATATATGCAGCATGGTTCTTCTTATGTTTGATTTCATTGCCAGTGTCATGAGAAATCATTATTTGGTTTCCTTGACCTGAATCATGTCAGATTCTGGAGTAACAGTACACAGCCTGGATTACTTACTTGATGAGCTGATCCTTCTTGTGGATTACTTGACAAAGTATCAGGTCTGAGCATTTGGTGCCACAGAAGAAGAAGAAGATGATGAGAACAATATGTTGAGCATCACAGAAATTGGGGGCAAGAATCAGAAACCAATCAAACCTGACCAAAAGCAAAGGCACTAATTAATTCCCTCACCGAAGTCATTTTTCTCTCACCATATCCAGCTGACAAAATCTTATCCAGTAAAAGATTAATTTCTTCTGGTGATTGTTCATCAGAGTTCAGTGCATCTGATTGATTTAGTTTGTGGCCTTTCTATCCTTGTTTGTGAGGATGAGATGCTTCGAAGATTTAGAGGTCCACATCAGCGTGTGACCATTTTCAAGGGGCCCCACCATCCCTCCTCTCCACCAGCCAATCATATTGGTGGGTCCGAGAGCGAGGAGATGTGCCAATAGGGCGCGAGGCAATCTCACCTTATCCACACTCCCACCACAATCCCCTCTTCCCTCCCATCTCCTCCTCCTACGCTCACCCGCCGCACCTACTCGGGCACACACCCTTAAAGCCACCGCCGCTTCCATCTCCTACGGTAGTTGCATCCCGACGAGCAGAGATGGCAGCCATCAACTCCAGCGTGTTGGCGTGCAACCATGCGCTCTCCGGCGCGTCTGCTTCGAGCTCGAAGCTCATCTCCGCGCCGTCTTCGCGCGCGCAGGCTTCGGCTTCATCCCCCAAGTTGCCGGTGATCAGAGCCCAGCATGCTCGTGCAGGCGAACGAGAGGAAGCGACGAGGGAGGGAAGGAGAGCTGCACTTGTTGGTCTCGCTGCTGCCCTCTTCGCTACGGCGGCTGCCACCTCACCGGCCGATGCTGGCATCATCGAGGAGTACCTCGAGAAGAGCAAAGCTAATAAGGTTTATTACTGATGCTTATGTTATGCTGTCTCTCTTTCGTGTTTTGGATGAAAGAAATAGGATTTGGTCATGCATTTAATGTTCTACAGTTTCAGGTAATCAAAAGTTGATATCGAAGCACAGAATTTGATTGCTCTTAGCACCAATAAGCATAAATAGATCTTCGATTAATGAATGTTAACAACAGCTAAGTGCAACTAGTGCATCTATCTACTGATCTTTAGAGAAACATCTTTTGTATGCTAATCCTAGTAAAATCATTTGTGTGAAACATCTTCGAACTTGTTGATGGAGGTAAAAGCATTGCGAGTTGCAAGATTTATGAACTACTTTGGGAAGTAGCATCTAAGATGGGGTAAATAACTAGGGGGTTGTAATTGGATCTTTCTGGATTAAAAAGGATCGGAGAGGAAATCATGCATGAGATATCTTTTTAGTAGCATGATGGTTCGGAATCTTCAATGCTGAACAGGCTTGATCCTGTCTCTCCCTCTCAAAAAGAGAAAGAAATTGAGAGTAGAAACTGATCACTCTGAAGTTTTGTCTGTTTGGAGTAGTCGCTATAAACAGTAATCAATGGATGAATTAATTTGTTATTTAATTCTTAGTAATTTGTATTCGAATAAGGATTTATAGCAGAATTCTGCAATCGAACTTAATGCATTATCATTCCATGTCTTCAAGTGAATGAGTTGTTAGAGAAAGCTTTTCTATGACATGGCAACCAAATGTTGGTTAAGACTATGTTTGTGTATGAATTGTTGCAGAGTATCATACTTCTTGACTATGATTGACTATCAAAATGAAATCAAGAAAAACATTTTTACGCCAAACTTGGAATCGTCGACATTAAAGTCATAACTGCAATTGGTAGCTGGTTCTTTAATAAAGAGTATCAGCCTGAATTTTACTAACTCTTAAAGTTTATCATTCATGTCATTTTAACAGAGCTCGGAATGCTCATAGAAATTCAGTTTTGCCTTGAAGCCACTGATGAAATCTTCTGCAGGAGCTCAATGACAAGAAGAGGTTGGCCACTAGCGGTGCAAATTTTGCACGCGCATACACAGTGGAGTTCGGCACATGCAAGTTCCCTGAGAACTTCACTGGTTGCCAAGACTTGGCAAAGCAAAAGGTAGTGAGCACTTCTAACACTCTCAATTTGCCTATTTGCAACTTTCATTCGATTTTTCATGCGAGTAGAACATTTTGCCAGTGACAGAATCTGGAACGTTGAGACATTTGTAAGGCTTGTTACCCCAGAAACTTTTATGATGTGTTATCTATATCAGGCACAAGTTATTAAGACCTTGTAATAATTATTTTCAGATTTTCTATCATCAACTATGTTAACCTTACCATTTCTTCTTTACTTATTCAAGTCTTACCTTACTTCCAGTATACTTATTTGCATATTATTCTGGTTTAGAATCGTGAGTATACATATAGACTAATTGAATCATTGTTTGTATAACGTGATCGCTTATGCCTGAACTTTTATGGCACTTACCTTAAGACTGCTGCTCTGTGTTCCATCATAGCTTATTCATTGATTTGATTTCTCCTTTTACTACAATCGGTGGCAAAGAAAAAACTTTTTTATTTTTATCTGCTAGATATATTTATATTTCTCTTTTCTTGATGCAAGATAGTGATCATTGTCTAACTAGGACAGTTCTTTGTTAGAAATCTTACTTTTAGTTCTCTAGCTGTTGGCGTGCCACTTAGACTTAATTAGCAGCTTCACGCATGCCAAGCTGAAACCACCTGACATCACGCAATTGCTTGAATGTGAAAGCCAATTCTCTTTTATTCTTGGTGATGAATTTTCTTTTCGACATGGAAAGCCTGTGAAGCTAAAATTCTTTTACATCTTCTATTTTATATTGTGTTTTTCTTATCATTCTATTCCTCTTGTTCTTGGAAATGCAGAAAGTGCCCTTTCTCAGTGATGATCTGGAGATCGAGTGTGAAGGCAAGGACAAGTTCAAGTGTGGATCCAATGTCTTCTGGAAATGGTCAAAATAGAAGAAAAAGCGCATGTAATCCTCGCTCTATGTACCTTAATGACTCTCTGAACAATTTATTTTTATTGTATCTCATCAATCTCTGTCCGTTCTCTCTGCTGTTTTTCTCCTACTTTGTGTCCTTGTTTAAATTTTTTTTCTAGCACTTTCATGTTCTTTATGAACTATTAACATGGAACATTGGGATGGCTAAGTACTTCAATAAACACTATATATGGGAGAAGAGCCAACAATGATTCATGCTTAAGGCCTTGAACATGATTCTACAAAAGCTGCCATGATGTGTTGTTGGAATTGTAAGGACATGTTATCATCATCCAATTGTACTATTACAAGTATTTTCATCCCTTTTTGTTGCTGGTTTAATCTAAATGTCAATTATGCATGCAGCTAGCAAATAAGGATGTAAATACTTTGCAACTTTGATGTTAAATGAAGATTAGATTTTGACTTTGATCCAATCTTACATGGCATCATCATACAAACTAGACCTTTAGTTGTTGTGCAAAGCCAAATCCCCAAATCATCTCAAGTACTTTTCAACCTAATGTTTGCTCTTCAGAGGGAGACCCTTTCTAACTCTTTGCATTGGCTGATCCACATCATGTTGGACATGAGTTTAGGACATAAATCCTAATTAGTTACGTAGCTTGTCTTTCTGTGATGGAATGTTGTCTCCCACTAATCACTCTCATTGCTCGCGTAATCCGCATCTTAGAATGATTAGGCGCAAAGTCGAAAAGAAGATCCTCAAGTGTCATTCTCCTTCCTTGCTTTGTAATCCACATTGTTAGAATGATTAAACACAAAGAAGATACTTAATCGTCACTCACACTTTTTGCAATCCACATCATTAGCAGGATAATTAGATGCCAACCTAAAAGAAGTTTCCTTGTGTCGATCTCAAGCCCATAGCTTTCATGAACACACACATTGCTCTCATGAAAGCTAAAGCGAGACAAGCAAGGCCCCATGCCAATCATCATGGCAACAAACCCTACTCCGGAACTCTCATGTCCATGTCTAACCCAAACCTAATTCTCTGATCTTAAGTGAGACCAAGAAAATATTTTACGGTATGAAAATTATTATACACGACATATTATGCGATTGGGTCGCGTTAGGATTAGACTAGGTTAGGTCACGAGATGGTTAGACTCGAGTTGGATTTGAATTATAACATGATCAATTTAGTCGTCAATCCGAATCATGACTTTGATCATACTCGACCCATTTTTCGCATATAGGTCGTATCTAAGAAGGAGAATTTTAAGAAAGATAATATTTATATCTCATAAATTATATATCATTCCACCTTGTTCCTTAGAAAAAGACTATATTACAATGCATCTAATGAGACCCCTTTGATGGTTATGTCAACTTTGACTCCTTTATATGGGTGACAAATACTTAGTAAATAGTTTAATAGCTGATGGTCAACATAGTTGACAAATGTTCATAAGCAGTTTAAGAAGCTAAAATATTTTTAGGAAGCTAAAATAGCATATACACTAATTTAGTGAAGATCGAACTCTATTTAGCATATACAGTCTCGATTGATCGAAAATAATAATCATATAAAATCTATTTGTTAGGTATGATCTCGTCGTCGAGAGAGCCTTCTACTTTTGGTGTGTCATCACAAACAATTATACTATCTCATCTCATCCAACGCGAATCTTTCCCTCCCACTAATTATTGGGAAATCTAACACTTGGATTGGATGAACTCAAGTCCAATCATACTGGTGTGTGTATTTGGTTCCATCCATATATAAGTAGGAGTTTGGTAGTCCAAAGCTTATCACATTGACGACATAGACAGCGACATGCTTGCGTGAGCTCCACCCTCCTCTCACAACAATAAGCGAAGCCAACTCCATTGCTTTTGTCGCACAAGATTGCCATCATACACTTTAAAGTCTACAAACGTATCATGAATGCCATGGAAACACCATTGACGATCGATACACAGTGCAGTAGAGTTAGAGGAAATGGGGGAAGAGCGCCTCATCATCACTTGGGCGAGCTCTGTGTTATTGGAAGCGACAGATGTGAGAAGAGTGAGTACGGCATATACGTGCATGGAGTGTTGGCGTGGTTTCGAGGACACTCTGGTCGGCCTTTGGGGGTTGCCATGATCTCAGTTCGGCAAGCTCACTTCGTCGAGATCATCCAGGGATAAGAACACCTCGTCGAGGCACGACAGCTCGGTGCCGCCGCCGCCGTCGTCGTGCGCGCTCGCCTGCGAGCAGCACTCCTGTGCGCGGCATATCACCCATTTGTTGAACTCCTGGGTGGTGTAATGGAAGAAACTCGTGTTAGCTACGAGAGCCGAAGAAGAAGAAGATGGGGAGGAGGACGAAGAAGAGGAAATGGTTACTGGTTGTCCTCTCTCCCTTCTGGTGCTGCTGCAGGTTGAGCTCCCACCATGAACAGTATCATTCAGCAAACGGTACTCATGCATGAGCCAGTTGGTTCTGATGCCGTCGGGAGGTTGGCCGATGTAGTATTTGAGCGTCGTCTTCACACCGACATCCTTATTGCCGCTGATTACGACCTCGTCGGTGCCCACTGGATTCCAGTATCCACTGACCGATGCTCTGACTTCGCTTCTGCTCGTGAAGAAGTACCAACACCTGTTCCCTCCTTGAAACGCTTTACCTAACAGGACACACACCACGTACATCAGAGAGAGAGAGAGAGAGAGAGAGAGAGGGGTTGGGGGGGTGGGGTGGGGGGGATCACCATGGAAGTTCGATGGATCACAACGATGGAGATCGAGAGTGGGGATGATGTCGGGATGGAAAGGGAGGAGAGCGGTCTTGTGGTAGAGGAAATGGACGACGAGCTCTTCGTCGGAGGGGAAGAAAAGGAAACCAGGAGGGAGATCCGCAGCTCCTTCTCCCATGGCTGGTCTGGTACAAGAGAGAGCAAGGAAAAGCAGTGAGCAGGAGAACGAAGAGAAGATGCGGAGGCAAGCATTTATAGGCGATCGAGCAATTGGCGTTTGGCAGTCGGTGTGATTCTAATGGCGTTAGAGAGACGTGCAAGCGAAGAAGACCACATCACAGCAATGGAAAGCATTTTTATGGTTTATTGCAAAGTTGAAGCTTATTAGAAACCCAAAAAATATTATATAATTATATATATAAGGAAAATTTTCTTCTTTAGGTTGTAAATATGGATGTCCAATAATTAAGTATCAAAAGATAAATGAAATATATTTCCAAATCTCGAGACACTCAAAACATAAAAATACTCATAATTAATCAATCATTTTTACAAATAAAAGCTAAAGGACATTTTACTCATATTAACTGACATTTAGATATATGTCGTCTTACTTTGTCTTGCCAGTATGGTCTCTATGGCCTAATCTTTCCGATGTTTACTCACCACTAACCTTTTTTTCATTATTTATATATATATATGTTATTATTAATCGAGGATTAGGTAATTAACACAATTCATTTATTGGTCTCACATTTATGTGCCATCAAATGGCATTACGACAAGTCACAAACAAACTTCAATGCACTTCGCTTTCTTCAGATGGATACAGTTCGTCGTGTTCATCTCTCTCTCTCTCTCTCTCTCTCAAACTCCATTCTATATCAGCTTTAATGTCAGCTGTGTGATCGATGATGCACCGGAGATTTTATACACGAGTGTCGGCACTCGAAGCCAATGAAAGCTAGTGAGATGTGCACTCAACAAGGAACAAGAGCGAGAGCACCATGAAGCTGGTGAGACGTCGCTTCCAGATGTTACTAGTTACTACCACACGAACAAGGAGACATGAGAAAGGACGGTAGAGATGGGGATGTAACTCAACTACACTGGAACAGACCGAACCCGTTTCGGCATCCGATAACCGACCGACAAATATAATATTTTCAATCCAATGCAATTTCGATAGATTAGACCTCTCTCTCTCTCTCTCTCTCTCTCTCTCTCTTTCAATCCAATGACATAGAGAGAGAAGCAAGTTATGAACTCCAAATAAATCTCACTCGGTAACTACTAACATCAACATATGCTGGTATGACCAGAAGAGGATGCCCATGTCATGCCACCCCAACAAGCACGTCACCACTTTCCCCGTCACTTTCCACTCTTTTCACCATGAACAGCATTGCTGAGATGGTGACCAATGTTGAGAGCATCACTTGAAAAAGAAACCACCATCTTTGCCCATTCATATATATAATACACCCTACAGAATAGTGTGTACCTCTTTGTTGCTTCTGCTTCGTGTCCCAAAACCAGGCAATGATTGCCAGGGCTACATACTTTGTGCTCCTCTACGCCGTGCTCTCCTCATTAGGAAATGTGCTGCTTCTTTTATCACCACCACGGAAGAAGGGATGGCATCAAAGATAAAAAGCTCGAGTCCACCACCCTTTTAGTGGTTGGTTGGTACACCATTGCACGTTCGCACCAAAATCTCAGGCCACAGAAGACTCGGGAGAGCTCTTCTTCCTCCTCCGGTGACGTCGTAATGATGGGATGTTGCCATCCCAAAGTGATCCTCCCCTCGCAAACAACAACCCTATCATGGTGGGAGGTGACCAAGTCTTGCAGCATGGAGAGGACGTGGTTGCTCGATGCTTTCTGAGGGAAGATGAGGTTGGGTTCTTGCAGGAGAGCATGATGTTTGCACCAATTAAAGGGGGTTGTGAGACCTTCACTTTGATCCGGTTCAGGCTATTTTTGGCGTGTCATCTGAGACCTTGTGAGGAAACTAGAATGGTTGAGCAATGGGTGGCACTGCCATGCCATTAGGACTCGGTGGTGGTCGTGGTTGGAGGCTGCACTCTTGGAACTTGATGATGCAAGGGTGGCAACTCTTGTCACTCTCTTCTTTCACCTGCTCCCAAAGCTGTCATTTGGCAAAGACAATATTAGCTCACATCAAGAGAAGACGTGAATAATAGTGATCGCATGATAACTGGGGAAGTAATTAGCATATGACAAATCAGTTTACTGAGAGGTGACAAATAATCAGTAATCATATGATAGCATAGTTGCTTAGATTGGCTCACATGCTTTGAGAAACACTCGAGTTGCTTTTGAGTCATGAGGCCCATGCTTTATGGATCACAGTATCTAACAGTCACAAAACAATATATTTAAAAGTTTAATATCACTAGAATAAGGATTTAAGATATACACAGGAGGTTAATAGAAAAGATGGAAAAAAAAATAACATTAAATTTTTAAAAGAATATTTATATTCATGAATATCTCATAAATTAGAAGTAACTTCTGAAGAATAAATTACTGTATATGGATTGCACATATCCATACGAATCCAAAAATATGCTGATTAGATGGATGAGACAACTTGGATTAGTGATACGAGGACGAAAAAGTTAACAGAACTACAGAAGAGAACTTGAAGAAGATAATAAGTTTCTAACAAAATGGAGTATCCAATCTTGTAGTAGACAAAACAAATAAGAGAATCGTCCAAAGAAGCCGAATCTTACTTGAGAAATGCACCATGAGCAATAAGTTTATAGTTTAATTCTGCAATCAAGGAATACACGAATCCAACTTTCATGATGTAACAATTTAAACCTAAACCTGAAAACTTAATTCTTAAGTTTCATCCTTAACAGAGAACAAAGTACTAGGCAACCTGGTATAGAAATGCTAGAGATATTCTCATAAATGATTATATTTACTTTATCGCCTCATGCAAAAACATTGTCAACAAAGTATCAAAGTGATATCCTGCAACCACTTATGGGCACAATATATTGAATTTCTTTGCCAAGAATAAATCAAGTTAATTCATTATGGAAGTAAACCAATCAATATGTGAAATCTCAGACAAGGATATTTATTTAGTGATAAGTTCCTAACAAGTTCCTGCTTTGTCGTTTGCCATTTACAAACAAACCAATGATAGATAAAGCGATCTGTGTGAGTTAAACTGGTGGAGATATTGGCAAAAGGCATAGCTGAAAACTCTAGGACAACTAGAACGAAAGAAGTAATCAAAAGTTAAAAAGTTGATTGTTGTTAACAATAGTTTAGCAATTTGGAAAAAAGAGAAAGAAGCCTCATATATGGCAAAGAAAAAAAATAATAAAAACTATTTGGTTGCTAGGAGGAGGCTATCAGAGGAGCTTTAAGAACTTGCAGCATAGGTACATGTCACATTGACTTACTAAGCATCAACCCTCATAAATTTTTCTTACCATTCTTGGACAGAAAGCAACATCTTTTTTACCATCTTCAGTTGATGTTTTCACAGGACTAGTCAGTCAAACCATTAACTTTGACATTTTAACCTTCTGACAACACAAGAAGACCTCCAGTTTTTCAATTGAGAAAGTTTTTGATGAATGAATAAGTTAAGTGATTGGAAAACCAGATTGATACTGTCAGTGCAAAAGCTGATGACTCTTCAGATGGCCTCAATTCATATAGCAGTCCAGGATATAAATGTGACTACCAATTGCTATTGCAAAAATTAATGCAAAGTTTCCTTTCACAAACATCAAGATGATCTATTCCTTAATAATTATCATTGACACTAACCTGACACTGCTTGTATTCTACACTATCTCTTGCATCAATCATGTGATCCACCAGAGTAGCAAGCAAGCTATAGATCTCCTCTGCTTGATAATGTGACTTGTCGTACGCTACAAACATATGTTTTGCACTCCTCACCTCCAACCAACTGTAACCTGGGTCCTTCTGCAATCTTTTTTCCTTCATAAGCAACCTGACGCGTCGAACATCATCCCACAAGCCAGCTGCAGCATAAATGTTGGACAACATAGTATATCTCGCCCCATTTTTAGGATCTAATTTAAATAGGGACTCAGCAGCTATATTAGCAATCTCTAAGTTCCCATGCACCCGGCATGCACCAAGGAGTGCTCCCCATATCCCTACGCTAGCCAAATCTCCTCCAGAAGCCAAACACTCTATAAACTGCATGGCTTCTTTAAGCTGATGTTTCCGCCCAAGGGTATCAATTAATGCACCATAATGCTCAGCCCTAGGGCATATTCCATGTTCTTTCTCCATCACACTAAGCATCCTGCATCCCTCAGAGGCCAGACCTGCATGGCTGCAGGCAGAAAGCACCCCTAAGAATGTGACATGATTTGGTTTGACGCCTGCTTTCACCATCCTTTCAAAGACGTCAAGTGATTGCTTTCCATGTCCATTCTGTGCAAACCCAGAAACAACTGAATTCCAAGACACAAGATCCCGTTCAGGCATTCTATCGAACACTGTAGAAGCGGAGACCATATTGCCACATTTTGCATACATGTCAATCAAGGCATTAAAAATGAAGACATTGAAAGAATCCGAACCAATGAACCTCCTAAAAGTAAACCCGTGCACTTGTTTCCCTCTTTCAATTAGTCCTAAACTTGCACAAGCACTTAAAATGGACACTAATGTGAATGGAGTTGGAATGACTCCTTCAGCCATCATCTGTGTGAAGAGCTCCAGCGCCGCTTCCTCCTCCCCATTCTGCTCATACCCAGAAATCAATGCTGTCCAAGACACAACATTACGCTCGGGCATGCTAGCAAACACCGCTCGAGCTTCTTCAAGTCTACAAGCTGATGCATATGCGCTGACCATTGAGGTCCAAGAAACAACATCTCTCCTTTTCATCCTATTAAATAAGCAACGGGAAGCATCGACATCACCACACTTCCCGTAAGCATCAATCATGACATTGGACATTATTAGATTCAGCTCAAGTCCAGAAACAATGACCGACGCATGTAACTGACGAAGACATCTCAAGGCCAACAAGCTAGCGCAAGCAACTGAAATACCAACTACTGTGAATTTATCCATGATGATGATGTCCTTTCGCATTTGGGAAAAGAGATCAAGTGCTTCCTCATGATGGCCATGGTGTGTGAGACTTGAGATCATGGTGTTATAACTAACAAGGTTTCGACCAGAGATTTGATCAAAAAATCTGTATGCTACGTCAAGACTGCCAGCGCGACAATAGGCAGCAAGCATGGTGTTATGAGATTGGTCATTCTTGAATCGAAGGTCATTGAAGGTTGATTTAGCGCAAGGTAAGGAGCCACACCTGGAGTAGATGTCAATGAGGCGGTTGGCAATGAGGGTGTGTTGGGTGAGCGCAGTCTTGGTGAGGCAAGCATGCAGGCAATGACCAAGCTTAAGATTCTTGGTGGCAAGGCACTGTTCAATGTGGGAGAGGAAGAAAGCAATGGCGTCAGTGGCAGCGATGCACATGGGGCTGGTGGTGGTTTCTGCAAGAGCAAGATGTGTCACCGGTTGGCATAGTGCTTATAAAGGTTAAGAAAGCTATGTGAGGATAAAAAAAGTTCTAAGTTTAGAGAGACACTGGAATTAAAAAACTAATCCATCGAAACAAATCATTCATGGGAGAAGAAAGCCCATTTATTATGGTGCATAACTGCATATCAATACAGTAGGTCAATAAAGGTAAAAAGGGGAAAGATCATATAACTCCAATTATACAACATTGTTTGTGGAATCTGTCATTCATCTAAAGATCTCTTTGAAACTATGCCGTGATTCATCCATATGACTGTACAGACTATTAAGCTAGTGAAGTCAAAGTCATAATTATCATAATCAGCCTTAAGTGTCATCTATAGGATCTAAACCTCAATGTCGGCTACAAAGGCCACCTTCAGGTCTGTCACTAACTATAAATCACGGCAAACTCATCTTCCTCAAACAAAATACTAGTGATCTTTCAGAAATTAATCAAGCAACTGCATTCGAGTGCTTCTAAAGTTTTTGAGCGTTGCGAACAGTTTAATCACATATCTAATCAACCCAACGGTACCCCCAATCCAAGCAATTGCTTAAAGCAATAAATTTGACATTGAAGAACCCTAAGTCATAAGTCAAACCAAACAGGATAAACCACCGGCCATTCAACCATTATTCCCAGGCGATTCTCGACAAAGAACATACTTTCAATCGGTCCATTAAAGGGGGAAAAGGGAGGGAAAATAATGATCTTACCACGACGTCGTGGGTGGTGGTAATAACAATGAACTTGCCACCGGGAAGGAAACCGGCGAAGGATACTGCGAGGGTTTTTATCATCTATGAGCAAGTTCCGGCGCAGGAGGCGGCGGCGGCGGCGGCGATGCGGAGGATCCGAAAGCAGGCGATGGCGGACGGGGCTCGGGCGGATTATTCTCCCCAATGGAATCCGAATTGCGCGGAGGTGCGCTCGTTTTGGATCGAACGGTTCACTCGGTTCGATCACCGTTTTCCCATTTCTTAATTACCCGACACGTGCCCTAAAAAGATTTCTTTTATATATATATATATATATATATATATATATATATATGTGGTGAAATCGAAATTCGATCACATCGGAAAAATCGGATAAATATGAAGACCATTGGAATACATCACTCAATTATAAAATAAAATATAATGTAATTTATTTTCATCTTAATAATATAATCGAGCATAATATAATTTATTTATTAGTATAATACCATCAAATTCGATATATTTTTTATATTAATTTTATAATTGAATGTAACACACTTCATTTACACATTAGAGATCAATCAAAAGATTGGCCATACTATGATGCTCGAATAGTCCGATGAGCGGAGAATATGATATATATTGAAGAAAGAAGAAACTTTGTTCTGATACTCGCAGCTCAAATCGAAGAAGATGCAGATTCCAATCGAAGACAAGTTTATCATGATGTTTGCTTGCATGTTGGTCCTGAAAGATGCTCTTCTAGAAGAGAAGAGTTCTCATTACATCAAATATCTCTCTCTCTTCCTCCTACACACAAAATGGGATCCAGAAAGACATGGAATTCAACTACCATCACATCAGTCTTTGAAGTATATCTAAAGCAGACGACCATAAATGGTGCTCATACCCACAGGAATTCCAGGCCAGTAAAGAGAGACATGCAGTCAAATGACCAAAGGATGTGAACATGATGCAATGGACGAAAACTCCCAACTGCGACACCGGTAAGAATGAGGGTAAGGATTCAGTGACTGTGGACAACCTTTGAACACTACCTTGTCTGCTAATGGAACTCAAGTTCTAGAGAGGATGATGATGGTATTGCCAGTCAAAAGAGTACACTAAATTCTCCTGTCAATAGCATTTGATGCCATGTTGACCAGTCCATTCTTCTCCGGCGCCGGCACTGCAATTTGAAGGCCATGTATTGACTTCCACTTGTAATTTAATGCTCTTCGATTATCATTGATCAAGGCACTTCATTCCATTAATTCTTGACATGCTATGGATCTACTTGCTGCCATGGAATGTGGTCATCCAAAGAACTCTGTTGCAGCCACAGCAGAGTAGGAGCAGGGCATCCAACTTCAATGAATGATGATACCTAGATCACATCCACTACATGCAGTGTTGACTGTTTTCAGGAAATATAATGGAGTCTCGTATCTTTGTATCCTACTGAAAGGTATTAATTATAATCTCTGGTTTTGTTGATCAGACAACTCAAGAAAATATATTCCATAGAAGAATGAACACTTTCAAAAGTGCATGACAACAGCTGTGTAATTTCATTTATCATCTTTGACCTTGTAAATGGGAATGCAGCTGATTAGGGAAAACCAAAATGTTCAGTAGCAATCTCTGACATCACTAAGCTTCCAACTTGTCAACTAAACTTGCATGATTATTAGAAAAGAAAATTTTCATGACTAAGACATGGAATTATTAAGAAGAGATAATGTGTTGCCTTACCATAGTGCTGACAGGGGTTGTGTAGAAGACATGAGATTCTGAACAAGTCAGTAGAAGAATGCATAATTCTTGACAAAAATGCCCATTCTTCCTCACTTTGTTAATTTAATTTATGCTATCATATTATATTCCCATGCTAGAATTGTCCAACCTAACATTCAATCTGCAAGAGTTCCTTAGTTCATCACACCAAGGATTGATGATAAACCATAGAGGATTTTACCAGCTGCTACTATCTTTTCTGAATTATACAGCCTTTACATCCAACACAAGTTTTGATTTAAATCTAAAATATTTAAGTTTTTGGGCTCCAAGTTAGTAATCACTGGTGTAAATGTAGTCTTAACATGTCTAAGAATTCATGAGAGGCATCCTGATAGTATACCTGAGTGGATAGTGCACCTCCAATTGTCTGTTCTTCTGGCTTCTAGGCATTGACTGTCCCACTTGTAAACCCTGTGACCACCATGTAGAAAGAAGAAACAATAGACCAGGGCTGATGGGATCAAAGTCCTTGTTGCAGCAGTCCAAATCTGTGGGTTTGACACTTGGACCAGCTAATGTGGAAGATTGGCAGATTTGAATATCCATATATCTTGTCATTCAGCACTGTTATAATCTCATATGCCTACTGCAGCAGTCTAATTATGCAAGTTAGACACTTGGACCAGCTAATGTGGAACTTTGCAAGGTTTGAATGTCCATTTATTATTCAGCACAATTATAATCTCATGTCTTTTTCATTCCAAGAAAAGGGCATCCACTGCATCCAAGTTGGTCACTTTGGACTCTCTCATCTTTGCACCTCTGATGTAAAAGAACATGGATTTCCTCTTCTATTTCATCTTATCATGCAAGGTTTATCTTCCATTATTTCTAGACTTCTGACATAAAGACTTATCTATATCTATTACTAGTGATATTGCCTCTTCACCAATCTCTTTTGCTTCTGGTCCTATCAGAAGCTTTGCTTTTTTCTGACTGGAAACCAGCCAAAAGTGTCCTGCACTTAAGGCCTACCTCAGCTTCTTGTTTCCTTTGACAGCTCCATTCCCATTTCCCCCAATCCTTGTATGCTGCACTCCAAATCTCTCTGGGACTGTTGTACCAGCTCACAGGATTTCATGCAAGCACTCAGACTTGCGCCATTGCCTTGCCGTTGTGGTTCTCAAGGTTCAGTACTTCTCTCTTCTCTCTCTCTGGTTGGTCTGAGATGTCATCAGAGCTTTGGATTCTGTACCTGAGGAAGAGCCACAATCCTCCATTGCTATACCACATGCGAGTGAGTGCCACTGAACACCAAATTCTCCTTCCCCGCGCACTTTGATTTCAGTGTCAAAGTAGCTGCGCCTTGTCCCTCTCAATCTTGGTAACCTTATCTATCTTTTTTGAAGCTTTTAAGAGGTCAGAGACATAAAAGCAATAGACTTCACCATCTGTTGCTTGTTTATGCCGGGATTCTGGTTTCTCTGATCCTTGAATGTGTTAGAGAAGAAGCAAATGAGCATTCCTTACTTGTTCAGATGCCCGATAAGCCTCGATCTCTTCACTGATCCAGTCACTCTGAGCACAGGCCAAACCTATGACCGGCCGAGCATCGAGAAATGGCTTGCCGATGGCAATTTGACGTGCCCGGTAACAATGCAGAGGCTCACCGACACGACGTTAATCCCCAACCACACCCTTCGCCACCTTATCCACCGGTGGCTCCTCGCCGACCCGGGCGTGAATTGCCGGCACAGGCCCGTGCGGTCTGCCGGCGACAGCGACGCTGGCTTCTCGCTCCTCGCACTCAAACAGAAACTTCAGTCGTCGAACACCTCCCGCGCCGACAAGCTTGACTGCCTCGAGAAGGTCAGAGTTCTGTCTGTGGAGTCTGACATAGGACGAGCGTGTTTGATCGAGTTAGGCTTCTTCCCGCTGCTGCTGCAGCTGCTGTTCCAATACTCGGTGGTGGTCGATTCGGCACTCGCCGAGGCGATGCTCGACTGCGTCCTGAGCTTGTTAGCCTCCGCCCAACTGGATTCTCTCGACATGCTCAAGGAGCACGCCAGGTTGACCTCGTTGGAGCTCCTGTTAGACCAAGGCAACACGAAGACGAAGACGAGCTTATGCCATCTCTTGAAAGTCATAGCTGCTTCTTCAGCAACTCGAGAGCTGTGCCTCGTCGTAGGAGAGTCGCGGCGGGTCTTGCAAGCGCTCGTCTCTCTTCTACATGATAAGTCCAGCATCCGAGCATCGGAGGCAGCAGTTCGAGCGATCTCAGGTATGTGCTCGTTAGAACTCAATCGAAGCCATGCGATCAGAGGAGGTGTGGTGGACGGCCTCGTCTCGCACCTGTCGAGTCCGAACCCAAGAACTGCTGCGCCTGCGCTGGCAACGCTGGAGCTGCTGCTGACACTGGAGGCCGGCAAGAAGGCACTCGTCGAACATTCCGACGCGATCAAGGTCCTGGTGAAGATGGTGTTCAGGATGTCGACGGCCGATCACGAGGGGAGCGAGCACGCTCTGGGTTCGCTGCTCGCCGTGTGCTGCGAGTCGGAGAAGGCGCGGTCGGAGGCGATGGACGCCGGAGTGATGACGCAGCTGCTGCTGCTGCTCCAGAGCCAGTGCAGCTCCATGGCCAAGGCCAAAGCCAGGGACTTGCTCAAATTAATGAGGTCTCTGTGGACTGAAGAAACCAGGAGGTTGTAATCTCTTGTGCCTGTCATTGTTCTCGACTCAATCTTCTCCATGCAAATAGCCACTGTGTGATGGCTTTACTTTGTTGCACGACTGAAGCCATGCACATTCTTCAAGTTATTTGGCCATTGCATGTCTATTGGAACCTAAGAAGATTAACAACTCCCACTTCTGCATTCACAAGCATTTAGATTAACCTTCTTTGGGGTGCATAAAGGAGTATTTTCTGGTTTCCTGTTCACAAATGTCAGAAGAGAATAACATAAGAATGCTCAAAAGATCAACGTAAAAGCCTCTGATGCATGCATGGCCTCTTTAGGCAAAGCCATCATCACCTATAAAGTTTTATTTTCTGGTCTGATAACTCACGCTAAAAAAATATATGATTTGGAAAGGTGGAGATCATCATCATCACCTTTCAAGTAGAATAATTCTTGATAGAAGATTCCAAGAGGCACGATTCAGAGGTTTGAGACAAAATGGGATTGTGAGGAGAATAAGTTTGGGTACACTCCACTGCCTTCATGTCTAAAGCAACTTGTCATTCCAGAAGCTACAACACTGTTGAAGTAGTGAAGCAGCCAAGAAAAGAATATTTCTAGCCCTTCTAGACTGCACCATCACTGAGGTGGGAGCTCCAACCAATTCATTCTTTCCACTGAATTGAGAGAATAGAGAATGTCTTTATGAAAAAGTATTAAGCTAGAACTGCATGATTATAGCAAACACTCAGATACTTACTGATTTGGAGTAATGTCTCAAAAGAAAAGAAAAAAATACTTCAATATCAATGTGAAGATCTGACTATTTCCGTGAGTCGAACATGAGATTTCCAGATGATTTGACTAGCCGTGCAAAATGATATTTTCTCTAGACTAATATACATTCAAAGATAATTAGTCCTGTGAGTGTGGACCTGTTGATGAGCACAGCAGATAGGACATCATAAAGCAATTAGTGCCATGGACCTTTCAAACCCAAGCTATGAGTTGCATCTTTTCCAGTAATGTCAAAAGCCAAACTTTTCTAGGGTACAGAACCAGTCAATCATGTGTTTGTTGATAAAGCACTTGCTAAAACATTATCCAGAACATCCTACTCAGGGGATGTAATTAGACACCATGCAGAGGCATGCTATTTAATATGCTTGTTCAAATCATGCAGATGTAGCATGGTTGATGTGAAAATATGACCATTATATCTTTTTTCCTAGATCAAGTTATAAAGGCACCTATCAACCACCAACCATGATGCCAAGTTGCCACATTCAATAAACAAGGCTTCTAGTGTTTGAACAACCATGCTAAAAGGCACCTTTCAATCACAAAATATGGAAAATGTAAATGTCAGTCATCTTCACATAAGGGGAAAATAAGTTTTAGTAGAACTCTAGGAACAGAAAATAAAATTATAATAATCACAAATAGTTCTTAGAAGAAATTACTTGGATAATAAAAATACTCTCTTATGTCAGTCTTTGTCCTTCAAAACAATTAGATGATGGGAAGCTTGTGTGTCAAGCTCCCATAGCAGGTAGACTTTCAACAGTCTATGTTGATGAAACAAAAGGAAAACCAAACCATCGTTTATTGTCCAAAAAATACATATACACCCTAATATTCATCATCCTTTGCACCATAAGTTCCAAAAAGGTAACTCTCAAGTCCAATATTGGGGTCACTGCTCCCAACACTAAGTCAACAGAACTGAAGGCTAAGATACATAAAGAAGAGTGTGATTAAAGATGCCCAAGAAATGATCCTACTAGAGACCCAGAAAATGGCTGTGGAACATGCTGTATGTGATACTGGGGTCACAAGGTCATTTATTGAGCCCCATGATGTCAGTCATCAGGAAAAAATGATAGTACAAGGTAGAGCCCCTTGACTGGGGACAATTTTCCACTTCATCTAGTGCTCCATAATACTGGTCAGAGCATATTGCATCCGGTCACAGACATCACACAAATAAATGTCGGCTGAGGACATATGAAAGTCTAGATCAGGATTTGTTTGGACCACATCCAGTCAAAGCAGTATTAAATCAGTCTGTATTCAGTTCACAGTGCAGAGTAAAATAAGTAACACATGTATGGCATGGAATTGACAAACATGCAATTATCTTTGCCAGACCTAAAAAGATCAAAGTAGATGTGCCTGCAAGTAGCTTAATGAACAACACAAATTAGGGTAGATCTTGATCAACACATATCCAACTCAGGGCTTAGGTTCTAGCTGCAGGCCTAACTACATGAAATCTGAAAAAACCAACACAAGTAGGTTCTGAAATAACAAGATGAACTTTATTAAAGAAATTAAGGTGCATAAGGAATTAGGTTATAGGTACTCATAAATACCAAAAGGATACCAAAGCAAATGAAAGTGGGGTATGACACAGATTGCTTAAGGGCCATAATAATGAAAATGAAAAAAATGAAATTTTAACATCATGGATAATTCACAAGTAACCTTGAGTAAATAGTAGAGTATATTACAGGTTATTCACTGAGCAGTCATGGAAAGCTTCCCATTCCATGTTAATTTCTTGATCAACTAAAAGATGGCACTGAAACTGTCATACAAAGTTCAGGATAGCAACCCAAAACAAATAACCACCTACTTGATAAACATGAAAAGTAATCAGGTCAAGTTGTAAATACATGCAATACAAGCTTCCGAAAATAAAACTTTACAATTTGCTTACAAGTGTAAGGCAACATTAATGTTCCAAGTAAAGAAATTTGAGATCAATGATCAGAAACCAAGCATTTCAAAAAAAAAATACTGAATATGCTTGATGTTCCTCAGAAGCCCATCTTTTGTTAAGATAACTGAAGGACAAGTTTCGTTTTTCTTTTTCATATCACAGGAAACCAGTAAATAACATACAGCGAATACAATGTTACCGCTGCAGATATATTTTATCTCATTAGATACAACACTACGAAGTCTGTCATGGGCAATTATAATAAACTCAAGGATTTCAGTATCTTCCTCCTAAACATATAATCGAAATATATCTGTAGATATTTTACATCACTGTCTTTATTTAAGGGCAAAAAAAGAAGAAAAATAGAAATGTGAAAAACGAAGAATTTCCAGACTACAAAATCATATAAACATGAATGAATAACCACATATGGATGATAACAAAGAGATTCTTAGAGTTCATTTTTTTTACCACTATTCAATGTCAGATCTAGTAAAAGTCTTTCAATCAGCACACAAAGTAAGCCTTGATTCCATATGAGGACAATTACAAAGGGTATGGTTGGATGTATCCATGTTCACTTAGCTGTAGACGTCTTTAGATCAGTACACAAAGGAAGACTGGCTTCCATACAAGGACAATTATTAAGGGCATGGTTGGATGTATCCATGTTCATTTAGCACAAAAAGAAAGCACAACAGCACCAACAAATGCAGAGTAGCATAAGTATCATATAATATATGTATGTATAGGTTTAAGCAGCAATGGTTTAATAGGTCGACATGAATTATTCTAGATACAAAAGTGAGGATCCATCACATAAGGTGGTCAATCAGGAAGATTTATTTCTGAATTTCTTGTCTAGGAGACTTATGAAAGCATGATAAAGATCAAATGACTCTTGGCTGCTGCTTTTGGGCCTAATCTAGATCCAACTGATTTGGTCAAACTTTGGGCTTCGCCAGATTTATGAGCTGGACTTAAAAGGGCAAAACTTTGGCATCATAGTAAGGTTGCCCCTAGAACATGGGTGGCAAGTTCGAGTCTCAAAAATCACCTAGCTTCTTGTTGGTGACAAGAGCCTTGTATACTAGGCCACCACCTTTTGCCTAACATTTCAAACATATGTATGTAGTCATATAGTGTTATTTGACTAATTCTAGGCTGAAAGCAAGATTTATCTCATCTCCAAGAATTTATTGCTAATATGTGCATCAAGGGCAATAAATACACCATATATGTACTATACTAAGCACAACCTCCCTTTTCTTCCCTGAAAAGGTGTTTTGATGTTAGCTGGTTGTTTATGAAAACATCTCTAGGTTGCTAACAGCTCAATATTTGTTTTCTCTGCTTGTAGTTGATAAAAGGAGATCATATTAGTTACCTAAATATTTGGATTAGCAACCACAAATGGCTTAAACAATTTATCTCTGAAATCATGAAATACAGCAAAAATACCACCAACCCACCATATACCTGAATGATTTAATTGCAATTTAATTTCTTTCAAATAAATGTGAAACTGCCACATCAAAAGACAAGACACAAAAACTTTACCTGCCCATGTAATGAATCTTCCTGCATTTTCATATCTTTGATGCTCATCAGGCCAGTCAGATTTGTGGCCAATAGACAAAGGGATTGCTTCACCATAAAACGATGGTCACAATTTGACAAATAAAAAGCAAGACAGGTTAATGTTTGATACACGTCATGGTAAGAATCTACTGAACATATCATACATTATCATAAACAAGCAATTTCAAAGCAAGTTATTAGAATAACTTGCCATAATTGCAATCTAAATTTTTTGAGAAGTATATAAAAGTAAATCAACAAAAAGACTTTAACTTCATTAATTATGACCAAAACGAAACTAATATTATTTCAAAGAGAACTAACATCAACCAGGTAGTCCAATTATACAGATCTTCATAGCTTACAATGTTTGTTGAACAAGAAAAAGTAATTAAGCATAACCAGAAGAATCATATTGGTGTATATTAAAGTTGTTTGAATCCTGTTTCTGCAGTTATGAGAAGGATGACAGCTTCCACACTCCAGGTTACTACTGAATCATTCTAAGATTTATTTAAGTACTCACCTTACACAGAAGTTTAGCGTAAAAATTGAAACCAAATGGAGTACCTTATTTGCCACTGCTGAAGATGAAGTTGGGATCTGATGGACCATCACATGCTCCACATCACCACCCGGCATGAAGGATGCAGATGCAAGGGACACACTTTTTGGTTTAACTTTTGCTGAGAGAACTTGTTCTAAATAGGAAAAAGGAAGAGGGTCTTACAGTATTTTTGGCTGAGCTATAGTGTTGGTACAGAAACTAAATTGTAAGGCATTCTTTCATCATACTTAACTTATTATTTAATACAAATAATATTTACAGCTCAACAAAAATTAAATAAATCCTGCAGTACATGTATCACAGTATCATCAATGCGGCATGGTGTGACCCGGAAATAAATTAATTGGGTGGTCATACAGAAACTGCCACAATGTGCAGACAAAAATTTGGGCCCACATGAAACCCTAGGGCCCAAAAATTACTGACAATTATAACACACATATCACATGATTAGGAGCTTCAAATCTTCTCCAGCAAATTAGAAATGAAGTCGTCGATGCATAATGGTACAAGGAAAAATGGATACATCTGTGACCTTGGAGAACTTGAGCATAAACTTCGTGTGGAGCAGTCATTTATATCCATGATCACACCATCTTCCTGCACTGCCTGATCTGTCATGCACCAATGAGATGATAAAAGCAGTATGAGCAGCCTCAAATTTGTTTTCCTTCTTTGTTCAAGAAAAACAGTTATCTTGCTGATTATGTCGGATTTTTCCTCTTCTCTTCCGCTCTGTGATGAAAAAGCTTTGCCATAGAACGCCTCTCACAATCCTGGTAATCGAGAATTTTCAGATCTAATAAAAAAAATATAAGAAGAAAAGCCTAATGAAAAATGCTTAATTCATATACTTCTTGGTTTAAGGTAGTGATGGCATGTACCTTGAACATATTTAAGTGAAAAGGTTTTGCAGGATTGGTCCTTCTAAGTTTCAGATATGTGTATGCAAAACTCAGCTGATCTCGGGGAGTAAATCGGTCAACTTCATTGAACCATATACAGGAAAACAAGTTGGACATCGGAGTATGCGCTCTTACGATAAATGAGCCTTCTGGGACATCTGTTTAAAAGATTTTAAAAGTTAAAACAATAAAACTGAAGACAGCATGTAAAGACAGTCACTGAAAGGTAGAAAAATATTCCATACAGCTAGGAAGCAACTTGTTGGGATCTGAAGGGTCAAATCTCTTCAATCCATCAGACTGGTAAAATTCAAATTGTTGATCAATGACGGTGTGGTTATACTTGTTCAGTTTTTTGTTCTGCAGCACCTCTTCCCAAACACAGTGCCGATCATAGTGATTAGAAATAGCATACTCATAACCTCGTCGCCAAAGAAAATATTCTAATATGAGGTAAGGATCACTCTGAAGTCGCAACTTGCTGTCAAGCCAAATTGAGTACCTGATCATGGAAATTACAATGTTACACAGCAATGACAGAATGACAAGCATATGATTCACATCACCAATGTGAAAAGCTACGTGAAGGGGGCATTAGAATTGAATAGAAAGCATCTCACGAGATGAGAGAGAGAAAATGTCACCTAGAACAAAGACTACCATTTTATTCTCAGTATTAACCAAGCCAAAGTACAATTTAGCTAGTTGCATTCTGACCTGGCAGAAGGGAAGAGCCTATGTGTCAACAACTTGGGAATCTTCCCAACTCTCCGCATGTCTGTATATGGTAAATTCTTGACCACCACTATCTTCCACAGACCAATGACCCCATTTTCCATCTTTTGTCCTTCTGACAACAAAGTCTTAAGCGTGATTTCATCCATGAACATAACAAAGCAAACATTTTTCCTTGACAAAGGTGTGATCTGCAAGGATTAAATTACATCTTTTGAATCATTGCCAGAAGTACGATTGTTCTGCTAAAGATTGTATAACAATAGGCAGTTATACTACTCATTGCACTATTGCAATTCGGTCTAAGCTAGAATCTAGACAACTGTCAAAACACGTATCGTTACAGGAACCAAATAGAATATGTCATGTCAAATTATTATCTCATGTTACAAAATATAAGTTTAGAGCTGTGAACAGAAGAAAATTTATTGATTTGGCATCAACGTATTTGATGACAGGAAGTGTTATCACTATGATCATCAACTAATATAAAAACTGGCAGAAGCGAAAGCCTCTGAACACCAAACGATATTAAAAACAAATTTTTTTTGTGGCTCAAATAATCAATTCACATGTCTACTAGGCACCTTTACAATGTACTTAATTTTGTTGAGTATGAAGATATTATAATTTTTTTTCTTACACTATATCATGATTATTTCTAACCAGTGGAATCAAAGGCAGATACAGCCCTCGAGTACCACTGTGATGCTGGCTATTGGCTACAAAATAGTTCATACAAGTCAAAAGTAACATGATGATAGTATTAGCAAGAATACATTTTCGTGATATTTATCTCATGGTTTATCTTAGGTAATATTGTATATCAACAGGAGGACCTACAGATAATTCAGTTTCGACAGAAAAAATATTAGCAAAATCATTTCAAATTACAATCCTGCAGCCGTTAGAACATATGTCAAATGATATACCCTTGGATAATGAACTACAATATGCAATTATTTCAATTTAGCAATATCTATTATTTTATAAAATAAATAAATTCAAAGTAGAGATTAGATTATTAGCCTCATTGCCAAACTTCAACGCAAAGCTGCAACATCCCAAATATGTATAGAACATGAAGACTGCATAAAATAAACAATTATTTTCAATCAAACTATTGCTGAAAGTGTAATAGTTAGGGTTCCAAAAGGAGACATGATCATCCATGCTCTTTCCAAAAATAGGGAATTGGCAATATAACACAACACCAATAAGTTCTTAAGGAAAATTAAATAGATTTTTATAAATGGCTATTAAATTTATGTCAACCCTCCTAAATTAAATAATCTTCCTAACAAAACAGGAGGAGAACAGTGTTTGAAATAAACGATAAACTAGTTAATTACAGAATTATCTTATCAAGTGTAGATTAAAATTGACCAATCACAGCGCAACTGATTAAAGTTCACTAGACCTTGTATATCTCCATGAAATGTGGACAAGTGACAAACTTTGTTATGTAGACTGCTAGTTCATATTAAATCCAAGATATGCCTAAGAGCCAATGAATCACAGCCATTGAGAGGAGTCATTTTCTAAACATATACACAACCAGCTGAAAGCATGTCCTTGGATCATAGGAGCAAGAACTATCTGAATAATTACAAATCACAGGAATCAAATGAATTAATATGATATGTTGGGTTACAGTTGAATGCGTACATGCCTCTTTATAAACATGAAAGATAAAGCTAGTACCGTTCTGCTAAAAGGTGTTCTCAGACGATCTGAGTTTCCAAAGATGCAAGAAGATACAGCTACATGGCAACTGCTCATAAATTTAACATCATCTTCTGTAATATCAAATCCAGTACTTGGGGAACCAGTGGGGCCTCTAACAAATCCACAGTTTATTGTTTGGTCTTGGGCAATAAACGACACTTCCCTTTCTTCTAAAGTCTGATGACCAGCAAACCTCGGCTCCCAGTTCTCTAATCCATTTGGCCTGTTTTCAATATGTGTATACTGCAAAGAGAAACTTGCAATTTTCTTTCCATGTAAAGGCTCTACGATTTGAGCCGTAGAGTTCAAGAATTTGATCTCACACGATGAACCTGATCGACAGAGAACATTTAGATCAATGATTAGCAAATAAATAATTTAAGGAATAGAGTTGCATAGTGCAATATATACACAGTATCATTGATTCAATTTCATTGGTGACAGAACTTATCTCTTCTTCACGTCAAAATAGAAAAAGATTAAGAAACCAAAGAAGTGTTTGTCAAAATTTGTTTTTTTATCTCATTAGAAACTATATCCTTTTGCAGTTTTGACAATATAACCTGACAAATTTGCTGTACAGGTAACTTTACCAATACAATCTCATTCCATGCCAACTTGACACATATAATTAGGGCATTTCTGGTTCTCTGCATCTTTATAATGATAGTTACATATTTATGTATAAATCAAACTATACCTGCACCTAAATGCAAGCTCACTTGTTTGGTTCACCTGCATCAATTGACGCAGCATGTTAAATCCAGTCATTACAATCATGATTCAAACGATCAGTTAAGACAATTTATGTTGGAGTAATAGAAGGATGAAATATTTTAGTATGCATCTACATTATCTAGTGTTCTCAATTGTGGGGAAGGATCCACGTAGATAGGAACAAATAGTTGGCATGATTCCTCTTTCATATCTTTTGCGATCACAGTTTGAATCAAGCAGGCATTTTGTTGGTTGTTTAGAATTACAATAGAGATACTCATTTGTTCTCTTATTGGGGAATCTGCATTAAGAATAAGCAAAGCAGTAAGTACTGCTATGCTTTAGGCACAGCCACTGTCCAAAGGATACGATGACAAATATGAAATTGAAGAAATACATAAAATATCGATAACTCACTAGAAAATTTGTGGTGTTTTGGTTTTCTTTTTGAGCCTGACTTCTTCTCTGAGCTGGAATGTCTCATTGTCTCACCACCCACACGAGCCTGACCCTTCTTTGAGTTTAAGCTGCCGCCAGCACCACCCTGTGTCTTGCCAGAATCTTTCTCACGCATACCCAATGATGCATCTTTCTTGACTTCGCGTCCATCACCCTCACCTAGTTCCCGTATCCTATCAGCATTATCGATTTCATTATGCGTGTCCTGCATATCAGTGGCATCATTGTACTCGTCATCAAGATCATCCTCCTTGACCTCAGTATCCTGCTTCAGCTCCTCATCATCTTCTACGGAAACCTCGTTTTTCTCTTCATGAGAATCCAGCTCCGCCCGCCCACCCTCATTGGACAATTTATCCTCGGTCTTCCCACCTCCCTTCTCCTCAACTTTATCCAGGCGATCTTTCATGGACACCTGCTCTTTTCCGCTCGTTCCACTCTCCGAGAACCCTTTTTTTTCCACGCCGTGTTGCTCCTTCGACAAACCCTCCTTGTTGAAATCGTTGTCCCTCCTCCTATCATCCCCATCCCAGGACCTCGAATCGCGGCCGATCTTGCCCGAGCCGCGCCCGAACTTGAGCTCCGTCGAGTGCGCCGACCGATTCACCCGCGGATGGAACTCCAATTCGTCATTCTCGTCGCCATCCTTGGTCAAATCTCTTCGAACATCTGCGAAGATTAAAACTCTGAGGCAACAACCAGATCAATGAAAGTGAGAAGAGTACGCTTCGGGGAAAGCGCCGCACCCTTGCGAGAGGAGGAGAGTCGACCGGAGGTGGCAAAGGTGACGAGGAGGACGACTGCGAGGGCCACGGCGAGGACAGCGGCAGAGGGGCGTCGGTGGGCCTTGCCCAGGCGGCGGATCCGGGCGGGGCGTAGGGGGATCCGGTCGACGGGGTCGTTGTGGACACGAACGGCGAGCCTCTCCGTGCCCGATGGCCGATACTGAGCCATCATCACATTCTGTTTTCTGCGCTCTTCAAAGACAAGATTTTATACTTTCGTCTCCAACACTTCTTTTCTTTATCATATCTTTCCCTTTTTTTTTTCTAGGGTTAGGAAGGGGAAGGTATAATTTATTATGCGTTTAATTAATTATTACAATTGATTTATTAATTTTATAAATATAAATCACTCAATCAAAATATTTAAATTCAATTTAAATTATTAATTTGATATTTTTTTTCTTGATTTATTAACTTTATAAATATATCAATTTGAAATATATTGTCAAAGTATAATGGATGGCTATCCCTCTCACCAAATATAATGATATTAAACTTATATATGTCCAGACTCTTCAAAAGATATTTTTATTGAGATAACAATATTACATATATATATATATATATATATATATATATATATATGTATATTTATATATATATGTATATATATATATATATATATTAGCAATTAAAAGTTCGTGTTCTCCTGCATTGTCTTCTTCAACGACAGAGCCACATGCGGAGACTTGATTGCAGAGTTCTCCTCACTCAGCTGGACAACTTATTTTCCTTGAAACATATGCAGCATTTTGCAGGGATGAGAATGAAGTAGAAGCAAAGCAATCAAACTCATCATCACACTAACATAACATGCTTGCATTTATCTCCTTTGCCTGAGGACTTCACCATTGTCGCCCATGTCAGAAACCATGGAAGGCCAAGCATCCTCTGTTCCTATGCGAGGAGAGGTGGAGACGACTCGCCCCTTCCGGTCGGTGAAGGATGCTGTCGCAGTTCTCGACGAGCGCTTTCTTTCCGGCCATGCTCGATCTCCGAAGGCCAACACACGACCAATAAGATCACATCCAGCGCCAAAGGCAGTCTTCTCGGCCTCCACTTCGCCACCTTCCTACACCTCTTCTGCAGCGCTCTCAGTGTTCAGCTCTCTGAGAAACGTGGAGGCAGAACTAGAGAAGATGAAGCGAGAACTGATGCTCCTGAAGGAGAGAGAATCCGACACGGCAAGAACAATTGCCACTCCCAATTTCCAGTTCCGTAAAAGCATGTGTAAAGCGGCAGAGATCGACGCAGCCGCCAACGCAGCAGAGAGCAGTGTGTCAATGGAACTGCCTAATAAAACTCGGAGCGAGCCATGGCGAGATGACGGACCAAGAAACGTCGAGAAGGAAAATGATTTCGGTGGGAGGAGAAAGATCAAATTGCACAAGAGGAAGCCTGTCATTCCACTGATCGGAGATCTTCTCTCCAGGAAAACAGAATCCACTGATCTCAACATCTCTCTCTACCCTCGTTCCACAATCTACAGCTTCAGCTAGTCTTCTCCCTGCAATTGTTTGTTTCCCTTTCTTTTCTGTGTGCTGTGCACTATCGATGCTGTAAGCTTTATATATATATATATATATATATATATATATATATATATATCCGATGACTACAAATATATATGATTCAAAGGATGGTCGAAATATTGATGATGCCAGCCAGCTGAGTGCTCTTCGTCAGGACATTTCATGCAACAGCATCAACTCTATATAGAATGCTGTTGAAGGCTAAATATATCCCTTCCCCGCTCTTTCCTCTCTCTCTCAGAGCCTGGCCCTCGTTTTACGTGAGCCTCTGTAGAAGGCTTCAACCTCCTTCCAATGGCGACCGGCTTCTCTCTCCTCCCACCACCCGGGAACAGCTGGAGAACATAGCACATCAGAGAGAAGCATCGACGCAGATGTGATCGAAGTGGACCCGCAGACCGGAACGATCGTCTCGGCGGCAGCCTCTTCTTGGCACCAATGCCGCCCAGCGAGGGAAGGGGCCGTAACTTGTGCATCTGGTTTATCTCCTGCCTCTTCTTTCTCGTCCTCCTCGCTGGCGGAGCTTTCCTCGTGCTCTACATCACCTTGCCCGAAACCAAAGACACGGCCTGGTTCCCGATCGTAGGGATGACCCTGGTGACCGTTCCGTGGATGTTCTGGTTCACGACGTGCATCTACCGGTTCGTCGCGACGGGGAAGGAAGGAGGAGCGAGACCGGTGCCGACCAGAGCTGCTTCGATGTCCCCATCTGGCGGCGGTGCGGCCGCCACCGGTGCAGCAGCCACCGCCACAGTCGACTCACCTGTTAATTCCCCGGGCGACGCGAGGAGGGTGAGGTTCGGCAACGCCACCGTCATGGGCACGCAGAACGACGCCGACGGGGCGGGAGGGCCGGCAGGCGCTAGTGGGTCGCCGCCGGGAGAAGAGGCCGAGGAGGACTCGGATGCCACACTCGCGTCGAGCGATGGTTCGTCTCTCAACTCGCACGAGAGCGAAGTGCCTCTGGCTTTCTCCATGTCTTGATCATGGTTCATCGGCATCAGTTTTTGCAAGAACTGAACTCCTTCCTGCGTTATCTTTCATCTCTGCTCACAACTCCCATCCATTGATTCGAATTCTCCATGAAAGGAGGCAACTGTAGAACATGAGCATAGGCCGTTTGTTCATACAATCGTTGAGCATTTGCTCGTTTAGATTCTCCTCTCTCTTCCACCGCATCTGCCTCATCTCAATCTTTACCCTGTGGTTCAACTCATCACTTGTGATCGTTCCAGCTTTCTTCTTCGATTCATTGATTTCTCCTCCTGACACCAATAGAAGTAGGTTGGGTTCATCTGTTGGAATTTGCTGTTCTACTTGTTATCTATCCATGGTGAATCTGCTGATCCACAAATACTATCCATGTATATATTGTAATATCGGACGTCATATCGAGCTAACTGATGCTATTATTGCATTTTAGATCACAAGTGTCTGCTGTATCTTGTGATATTGATTCAACCAGTTCCACCTGCTTCCTAAATGCACGTGATATTCATAAAATCAAATAAGTTGATACCAGGAAACTTAGCAGAAATATATGGGCTAATTATATATTACCTCTTATTAATTATCTTTAACATTTTGATCCTTAATTTTTAAAAAATATATTGATATTCTTATAATTATGAAAGTGAAATAGGATAAAAAGATAATTTTAATATTTCAATTAATGGTGGTAGACAACCGTACATATATAAAATAGTTAATAGCTCTCACCTCTCATCATCGCTCTCATCACTCATAACAGTCACCCATCATCCCAAACGATATCGTTGTTTGTCACCATCGACGTCATCACGTCATCATCAACTGAAATATTAAAATTATTTTTTTACCTTTTATTTTCATGTTTCTATTGATAAAACTAACTTCGCTAAGATAAATAGACTCAAATGTTTTATTTTCGTAACTTTAAGGATGTCAAAGTAACTTTTTAAAATATAGTGAACGATATGCTAAATAAAGATAGTTGACTTAATTTTTCGTTTTGATTTGTCTTAATTTTTATAAAATTTGGAACCGATTTGAAACCATCAATTTTTTTTTTTTTTTTTAAATATCCATCTGATTAGTTGTTTATTAAACTATTTGAAGGTGCCAATTTATCATTAGGAGGATAATTCATCATTTAAGATATTTATATTTTTTAGTTGGTTAAGAACCCGATTCTAAATTCTAAAAAGCTTTTGTATGTATCATTTTGGTTAATCTCATTTAATTAAGACTTTTATTGATAACAATGAACTTCAATTTTTTAATGATAATAGGGACATTAAATTATTTTACGTAATTAAGTATTTTTACTAAAAATTAATCAGTATTAACGACAGTTACTCGTGAAAATGGAAACATATTACGAAATCGAAATTAAGGGCGTATACGTTATTTCGTAGCTTAGAAAAGGAAGTATATTACGTATACATATCACAAGCTTACATGTACAGCGGACAGCAAATCCAGCCGCATCGTGGAACGCCACGTGTTCTTCGGAATTTTGGGGCTAGAATTACTATCCCCACTCTCTCTAAGTCGTGCAATTGACCACCTCGCGTCGACGTAGTTTGGTCGTGGTCGTATACAATATATAATGACATATTTACCCCTAAGGAAATCCCATACGGCAAAATATAAAAGAACTGTGCTTATAACATATAAGAAATCATAATGCACAATATCTGAGCCAAAATTTACAGCACTATATCTTAATTTGGGAATGATAAAATGATGCTTAAAGAAATCAAGATAAAAATGGATATATATATATATATATATATATATATATATATATATATATATATATATATATATATATATATATATATTTGATTTCAATTTCATTAGGGGTAAAAATGTAACTCGAATTATGTAGGGGTATATGAGTAAAAGCACGATGTTGAACGCGAAGCGGCAGGCAACGAGAAAGGGGGACCCACGGAGAGCATAAAATAATATATATATATTCCAGGTTCATATTCCCGCAGGGCAAAGGGCGTCGCCACCAAGCGAACGAAGCTTCACGAACTCGCGAAGCTACTCGTCATTCTTCCGATCTCTGCCGAGTTCAAGGTCCCGCGCCCTCTTCTCCTCCTCGTCCTGTTCTCTCTTCTTCTTCTTCTTTTTATCATTTTAAATGCTATTATTCTATTAGTAATTTTGAAGCGATGGTCTGTAGAGTCTGCGATTTCCACAAAAAAAAAGATCCTTTTTTTTTTTAGTTGCAAGAACCATATGATGTGGAAATAAACCATATGTTACCGTAGGAATGCTCTCCTTATCCTCCGATGAATAGCTAATCCCCAGAGGAACCGAGTATTGGATGCCAATTTTGAGAAGTCAAGGAACTGTGTCGATTGCGGCAGAGATGGTCATACTGATTGCAGAGTTTAATTGCTGATATTACTTTTTAGTAAGTAAAAGCTATTAAGTTGGTAATTCTGGTAACAAAGATAAGATAATATGAATTGTGGTTGCTTTCTGATTCTTTCGATGATTTACATTGAGGCTTTAAACAATTATGGATACCTCTTGCTTATACTCCCGGTTTATTTATTTGACATATATAAAAGTTGTGAACTTTATAACCGAGTAATGTTTCAGAAACCTTCTAAGAAAAGTTTAGGAATCATACATAAAAGAATTCGGTTTTTTTTTTATATTAAAGGAATCAATATTTAATCGTTTACTTATTGGATTAACAATGTTATCTGTTAGAATTTGAGAGATGTACTGGAGTATCAATGTAAAGCAGATATTCCTTTTTTGTTGACTGAGGTCCATTTGATATTTGATATTTGACCTCTGTCAAGGAGAGTTAAAATAGAATAGAAACTGCCGAATGTTCTACAATGAAGGTAGCCATACATTGAGAGGTGAGGAGAATAGAGCAATTTTGATCTGAATGTATATTTCGGTGCTTTTTGGCATAACATCGGTGACTGCCTTTCTTTTCCTTGGGACCTTTGATTACATTACTTTTTCAACTCAATTATTATTTGCTTGCTTTGTTTCTCAGGTTCCTACGCTTCATTTGGTCTCCAATATTGGGGACAAGAGTTACATCTTCAATTTAACTTCAAGGACAAGCTTGCTTGATGCCTTTACACATGATCTATCTGTCTCTCCTGTCTCTAATTAACATACTCTAAAGAATGTGACAAATAATTTATCTTTATGGTTTTTCTAACATATATAAGGCCCAACTGATATTTAATATATTTTTTATAATGTATGTCATCATAAGCAAAAAAAATTATCACCTTCAAGGTGATAGACATGTCCCTATTTCTTACCTCAATCATATCTCCTAGTACAATTTTACCACTGTTAAATTTGTAAGGGATTGAAAAAGTTAATTTTGTGATAGAAATAAATCTTTAGCTCTATATATATGGCTATATTACATTCGATTATGATGATTTTCATATATTTCCTCGAAAAGCAATTGGGGGATACATGTCCGCTCTTCTTTTAATAAAAAACTATGACAAGTTGAAAGTATCTTCATGCATCAACTACAGCCAATAACCTCTCATTCATTATAAATAGAATTTGAGGATGTTTCTGTAAACAAAGTGTTGTACATGAAATATCTCGAAAGGTTTTATGAACGAACAGTCTCTGAGGTTTTTTACTTGATATCTCTGTAATATTTGTTGTTTATATCTTAGTTGCTCTTTTTGTTTGCTAGAGTGCCTTCTTTCTTTGTTGTTTTATTTATATTTTTTGTATCTTCTGTAGTTTTGCTTTTTGGAACTTATTGTATTGAGAAATTATTGACACTTAATAGATCAAGTGCTTCTAAATTTAAAATTTTTCTATATTTGTTTCATAGCAATCATCAAACTTTTGAACATTCTTGTGAATTACATTGTTGATTTTGCTAGTGATGATGCATCTGTGCTACCTATTTGGTGATGGCTAACACATTTGGTACGAAAAATTTCAGATCCTGTCTTCTTTAATCCGTTTGTTACTTGATTATCTAATGATTTCATATGGCAAAGAAGAATCAAACTTCAGCCTCTCTGAATTTGGTTGCTAGAAATCACTTAGCAAATCTAATTAGCATTTGATGGTCTTGAACTCTTGATTATGGAACTTAGTTTTTTACCATCGTGAAATCGAAGCTGTCAAACTGTTATATTTACTAATTCTCGTGAAAATTTAATGTTGTAATCATATTTGCAATGGTTTCTTGATGTTTATTCTGGCAGCCTTTTTGATACAGCTTATTCTGGTTAATTTTGTTCTCAGCATCATCATCGAAGTCCAAAACTTTTAAGCAAGTAATTAAGTCATCATAGTATCTTACCTGTCTGAAAAGACTGAAATTATTATGTATCACAAGGTATTTTTCTCATTTCATGAAAGGGAATAGTATCTTGCATATTATGCATTGCTAAAAGAGCAGCTTGATGCAGAAGTCTTCTGCTAATACAGGGTTTGGGAAGGATCAATCTATGAATTAGAGTCTCTGTTTGCTAAAACATAAAAACTGATCGTTCAATTGTTGCATTGTTGCTTATGGTGGCCTAGCTCCAATACTAAAAATCACACTATCACTAGAAAACGTTTTGGAATATTGCGTCATCACTGAAAAACAAGATTTGGCACCGGTGTATATATTTCAACATTCAACTTTGGTATAAAACATGAGCAGTTTTTGGACCCTGCTAGATGTTTGAGATTTATGTCATGATTATGTAAGTATGAATATATGATGCAAGCTTATTTTATTTTTGGCATCAAAACTATTTGGGAGTTGAAATTGATTGGATATGTAGCTCTTGGTGCAGTCATGCAGCTGTATCATCATCCTTATTCAATGGACAGCCAGAAAGTGCGCATAGCACTGGAAGAGAAGGGGATTGATTACACATCGTATCATGTTAATCCTTTAACTGGGAAGAACATGGATGTTCCATTCTTCCGCATTAATCCATCTGCAAAGCTTCCAGTCTTCCAAAATGGTTCTCATATCATTTTCCATGCCATTGATATTATCCAGTAAGTTTCTTATCTATTGATTATATACTTTTAGGTGTTTTATCTGGTTATTTACTTTATGGCATCTTGCATCTGACTCTAATGAGGTACATAGAGAGGCTCTCAGTATCTCTTAATGGGGAGGAGAACCCCATTAGTAGCAAAGTCATGGAATGGGTGGAGAGAATCGAAAGTTGGAATCCTAAATTATTCACTCTCACCCATATTCCAGACAAGTATCGGCTGTTTGTTTCCAAATTTATCCGGCGTGTAGTGATTAGTCGGATGGTTGAAGCCCCAGATTTAGCTTGTCTCTACCATGTAAAGCTTCGAGAAGCCTATGAAACAGAAGACAATTTGAAGGGCCCAATGAATTTGCAGCGGAGTGAGGAAAAACTATCTAGTCTTCTTGATGATGCAGAAATACAACTGAGTGCGACAACATATTTGGTTGGTGAAGATTTTACCACGGCAGATTCCATGTTTGTTCCAATTCTGGCACGAATAACTCTGCTAGATCTAGAAGAGAAGTATATCAGTTGCAGGCCCAAAATAACAGCTTATTACGACCTGGTAAAGCGGAGGCCAAGCTACAAAAAAGTGATTGGGAAGTATTTCGCTGGATGGAGAAAGTATCGAACACTTCTTAAAACAATGTGCTTTCTTTGCATCAGAAGCATGTTTGGGAAGTACTAGAAAATTGAGGGTGTCCAAGGTAGTTTGAAGATATCAGTTTGTGCAGCATACAAATAAAACTGATATACTCGGGATCTGCTTCATCATTGCCGGCATATTTCATACAAAATCTTCTGAAAAATACAAGCAAATAGTGAAGTTTTTTTTATAAGGGTCAGTGAACACTTGGGTGAAGTTGCTAGCTCTTCTTCTTGTAGCTTTGGTAGCCTCTCTTCCTTTTACATCTGCCATTAGCAAAAGATATTCTTCTGTGAAATAATGTTTTTCTTTTCATTTTTATTAGCATTTCCTTCATTTCAAAAAGTGGAGGTGAAGTTGCATGTATTATTCTCTGCCTTCTTGTAATATACCAAAATTTCTCACACACAAAGTTGAATTGAGATTTTAAAAAAGCATATACTATTTTCACATATTGAGCATTATAGGATGAAACCTTCTTTCTGTGTCTCATGGTGTTTTTTTTTTTTTTTTATATCACCAAACAGATTCCTTCAATTCTTCAGATTGATATTTAATCTCTCTGTTCACAACTATACAATGTTGTCCACCACTGAATGTAAATGGAACTAGAACTGAGTTATGTTCAGAGAAGATAGTAATTCTCTGTTCTTTTACCTGGATTCTCTCAATTAATAAACTAACACAACAGTTTGTTGTTCAGTGTTCTCTCAACACCATGCAGGTTTAAGCCTTTCCTCCCTAGCTATATTGAGCACAATGTCTAGGTTTCAGTTCAATCAGAATACTAGTGATTGGTATCTCATTGAACTTAACAGTATGGCCCAAAATGTTTAAATTGGGGTTCTTGTATGCCATCTAAACTTGTCTGTTGATCCAACTCACAACTGTATCTTGCATTGAGGCATCACATGTTTGCTTGGAGGTTTATGGCTGCACAAGTATCCTTTTTCTTTTTCTCCAGGGAAGAAGAAGAAGAGTTCTCTTAGGTGCAAATTCTTTGTTTCATCTAAAGCATTAGCTTCTTATTACAGGATTTTATAACATTGCTACTCTTCTATTAGTGATGGAGGAAGGAAGATACAAAATTGATTATGTAGGTAAGACAGTGATGCATATATCAACTATATGGGCTAATTGGTCATTCAATTTTGTTTAGCATAAATCATCGAATAAAATGCTTCAATTGAAATTGATAATAATACACTCATCAAACTTTCCTTAAATCTCATTTCGAATGTGAAACTAAATGAAATGTTAATCTTCATAAGTTATCTATGATACCAAATGTACGGATTATCTGACTTATCAATTTCGTTTGATTAAAATTACTTGTCAAAATGTTTAGATTGAAATTAATAATAATATATTCATCACATTAGATCCTTGTAAGTTAGTTTTAATTTTGCTCATTTTTTTATGTTGGACTAATCAGGGTGAAACAATTTTTTTTTCACTTATGGGCTTGACGTCTAGGTCCAAACATAGCTCAAATCAAATCTTACTATGATGCATGTGATACGTAGCTAGTGGTAGTTTCACGTTAATTCCTTTTAACTCCATCCATGAATAGTCTTTTCGTATTCGGGTTCTCTCATCATGTCCGAATATAATTTCGATATCATATGTTATCGAGTTTGATGGGTTAATTGATCCATCAACCAGAGAATTAGTCTTTAGCATCAATATTGTATGCATTGTGTCAATGGTTGCATCAAAACCCAGTGGTTGAAAATGGTTGTTGCCCCATCGGAAGGGACAGTGGGAGCAGTACTCCCACACCTCTCTCATGGCGCTATCATGGAAGGCTGGAAGCAACTAGCAGAGCTACTTTCCACCTCTCTTTGGGCCAGGCGATGACACGGTCCACTCCATGGGAAGTGGGGATAAGATCCCATCCATCGACAGAAACCGATGCTTTCTTCTTCTTCTTCTTGGAGCTCAGCGGGCGTTTACTCCGAGTGTCAAGTGGAAGACTTGGCAGTGTGGGATGGGACTGCTCGAGTTGGCCTCAAGCAAATCCATTCCAAATCGCCAAGAATCGTCTACTCGTCGACAAGTGTGGAAAAGATGCAATCATCTCTCTCTCTCTCTCAAGAGACATTGGTTATTGACTGCGTCCAACTACAACTATGCTGGTTTTGCCACATTGAGTCAAACAGCTCGAGTGACCCACTGCAGCTCTCTCTCTCTCTCTCTCTCTCTCTCTCTCTGTCTATGGAAAGAATCAAAGAGAGTCGAAGAACTGACTTCTCTCTTTGTCATCGACTGGGTCACTGGCACTAGATGAAATGTTTCTCTCTCTTAAGAGAGACCGTAGTGAGAAGAAGAAATGTGGGTGATACTGTCGATGAGGCATTGACCATTGGTTGATGCTTCCTTCTACATCTCGAGTTGACACGCAGCCAATGATGCCATTGCCATCGAAAGTGTGAGAGTTGACATGCTACACTCGGATATACGTCAAATAGTAATGGCACGTCCCACACGTTACGTGTCAAAATGGATGAGACTCTCACATAGTCTTCTCACTACGACACAATAAAGATCACAAAAATAGGGTGTTATGTATCAAAATCCCCATTTTTTGGCCGTAGAAGAATGTTTCCTTGTCGTCCATTGAAAGAAATTAAGGAAATAATTTTCTCTTATTGATGATGACCGAGTCAATATTACACCATCACCAATGCGAATTTTCATTAACTTTTAGTTGGTTACTTCTCGGCTAATAAATAAGTAAATAAATATTATAAGAATATCAATTTTTCATTTTCTGCATTAAGTCTTTGGATTCTTATTATTTGTATGAAAATTTTGGATGAATTCCCTGTAAATATATATATATATATATATTTTTTGAATTTTTTCCGAGAATTTTTAGAATTCCTTAACAGTATTTTTTTTTTATTATCTAATACTTGAAATATTAGTCATCTATTATTTTTTTCTCCTTTTTTCTCGTATGGATCGATTCATGAGAAAATAAAGAAAAAAGGGGCTGGTAATTCTATATATTAGGAAGAAAAAAAAAAAGGTAGTCGATAAAAAATTCTGAAAATGAAAAATGCCAAAAAGAACAATTTTATTAATAATTCGTCCAAAAATTTTACAATATTCCAAGTGTATTCCATGAAAAAGTATTAATTAGGCTGTATGTCTATCCTTCAAAGATATTTTGATTTTTTTTATTTATGCAAAATAATCATATTTATTCCTCATATATTTATCCTCTTTATATATATATATATACTCGAATTGACATGTCTCAAGAAGATCCATCGAACGTTTTCTACTGTAGAGTTCTCTAAATCATATGTGACCAAGTATAATTAGTGTCTAACAAATAATAATTAATTAACAAAGATGCAAACATATTAAAGGAGGGTTAATTATATATTACCCTTTTATGTTTGGACCCTATTAATATCGTAATCACTGTACTAAACAAATTTAAATTTGGATCCCTATAATTCTAAAAATAAAATAAATAATCTTATTTATCATAATACGTAATACAATGTGCTCGATCGTATGTGAAAATGATGGACAAAAATATAATTTTATATCTCTTTCGTTTTTAATAATTTTATCGATAAAAAATAAAATAAAAAAGATATTAAATTTTTTTATGCTGATTGTGATGTTACTTATTATATTTTTTTATCAATATAATTAACGATATTAGGATAAATAAAATTATTCATTTTATTTTAAGAATTATAATGATTAAATATAAATTTTTTAGGTATAGATATCAAAGTATTAATAAGATCAAAAATATAAAAGACAATAAAGAGAATATGAAATAGAAGGGAGGATGGAGACTATGAAAGCATTGAATACAGTAGAGGAGCGGAGATCAGACTCTAATTAATACATGGGAGGCGGAAGCCGCGTGGCGAGCGGGCGGTGGCCCTCCTGGTAGGGCAGCTTGTGGGCCCCCTACCCCCAAGCACCTCATCCTTGTGACCACTACCAAAGGTGTGGGGTTCTCCTACGGAACACACAGATCCTGCCGTGATGCGTACGAGAAGAGAAGAAGCCATCTCTGACCTCGAGTACAAGAGCCGATTCATTGATTGCTTGCAGTTGCAAATGACTCTTAAGCACGAGTGGTTGCCATTTTGTAGTTGTTTTAAGGGTTAAGGTTTTAGCCCCTGTCATTTTATGTAGTTTTAAATTATATAAGTTTTTATGATTATGTCTAAAATAATTTATATATTTTAAATATATATTATATAAGTTTCTTCCGTTAAGTCAATGTTAGAATCTATTTACGTGATATACTGACTCATAATAAATTATTAATATAATAATATATATAATTTAAGTAAAAATATATTAAATAGTTTTGATCACGAACCATTTAAGTTATGATTTTGTTTATGTCTAGAATAATCTATATTTTTTAAAATATAGCATATAAGTCCTTCGTGTTAAGTCTGAGTTTACATGTTATGTTAAATTACAGTAAATCATTAATATAATGATATATATAATTTAAGTTTAAAAAATATCTATCTTATTGAGGAAGAGGAAGCGATGGAAACCATAGCGACGTATGAAGGTAGAGAGACAGAAGTAAGAGAGGTCGGAGATGAAAGTAAAGGAGAGCTGGACCATCATGTTATAAGCACGACAAGTGAGAGCACAGAAGAGGACGAAGTGAGATGCAGTAGGAACAAAGACTCTCACAAGGAGGAAGAGGGATCAAAAGACCATTGGTGTTGAATTGGTCGACGCACATCAAGACCGGAAGCTCTTGAGCTTGTCGTTAGCATGAGAGAGACTGCATGCGTAGGACGAGTGATTTAGTGCTATTGCTAATGGTCGCTTCCATGATAATGCCTCCTCTCGCCATTGATAATGGTCTCATTTTTTTTATTTAAATTATATATATTATCATATTAATGATTTATTTTGAATCAGCATGTCACTTAAGTAGACTATAACGTCTATTAATTTAAACTTGACAAGAGAGACTTATATGCTATGTTTTTAAAAATATAAGAGTTATTTTAGACACGAGCAAAATCATAAGTGCTTAATGGTCAATGACCAAAATCGAATATTTTTTTTAACTTAAATTATACGTGTTATTATATTAATAATTTATTAAGAGTCAGGATGTTAATAAGCAGACTCTAATGTCTATTAATTTAAACTTGACGGGAAGAGTTTATATACTACATTTTTGAAAATATATGAATTATTTTAGGTACGAGTAAACCATAAGAGTTTAAGTGATCAACAACCAAAACCACAAGGGCTAAAATTAATCTTAACCTAAAAATAATATTATTAATAAGGGTTAGAAACTTGTATACATAATAACATTAATTAAAAAATTATCATCATTTTTTTACTAATCAAATATTAAATATCAATATTTTTCTTGAGATATCTGAATTAATAAGTGTATTATTGCA